CACACACACACACACACACACACACACACACACACACACACACCCCGTGGGTTCAAATCTGTGATCTCACCCTTTACACTGAGGGACTAAAAACAGCCTGAGTGCCTGAACAACTTGTTCTTGAGATGTATTGAAAAGGAAAACACAGTGCTAGCCCTTGGGTTCTTTGCCTTGTCATGATTTAGTCTCTTGGGGACACTCAGAACAACTTCAGCCACAACCACATTTATCAAGATGTCATTAGGTGTCAGACACTGTGCGGAGCACTTCCCATCTACTTGTTTATTGGATTCTCCAAGCCATCCCGTGAACTAGGCATTCCACATAGCCCCATTTTGTAGATGGAGAAACTGAGACTGGGGAGGTGAGGTCACCCAGCTGAGAAGATGCAAAAAGAGAATTCACGCCCAGGCTTGTCTAACCTCAGAGCCTACTCTTTCGGCTGCTGTATTTTACTACTAGAAATTTGATGCAAACTCATTCTGTGACCTTGAGCAAGCCTTAATCTCTGGGGCTTCAGTTTCTTTTTTTGTAACAAAGGAGGGGGATGGGCTATAAGGAAGGGCTTCAAATCCTTCTGGAACAGGGAGAGTTAGGGGTGAGGTAGGTTAGCAGGAAAGAATTAAGATTCAGCAGGATCAGACTCCCTGGGGGAAATAGTCTGAGTCATTTTCAATGATTTCAGGAATTTCTGGCGGTCATGCTTGAGATTTGGGATGGCAAATATGTTTCAGCTTCTTTGTCAAGATTAATCGATTTTTAGTGGCTGCCTGGAGCACACTGTTGATAAGGATTTTTGAACTTCTGCTCAGTGGGAAATAATGTCCCTCATCAATTAGTACTGTCTGCCTTCTCGATCAATTGGTGCTGTCTGTTTAGCCAGCAGGGTGGGTAGTCCTAGTGTGAGTGCTGCATATTTGCTGATTTTTCCCCCAGAACATAACCTAAAATCCTAAAGTTCGTTTAAACATCTTAAAAGACATCGAGTTAGGTTTTTGTTTGTTTGTTTGTTTGTTTTGCTTTTTACATTTGGAAAATGGAATGGGATTTCATAGTTAAAGATTTGTCTGTTTGTTTTTAAGGAATGTTGTGAAAAGTAAGTCCTACTTCTGACTTCTTGATATCCAGAAACCACTGTCCCCTTGAGGTACTATCACCTTTTCATGTATAATTTCAAGAACACCATATGCATATTGATGCATATATGCATGTGTTTGAATCCACACACAGGTGACTATGTAGTATATATGTGCACATTTATTTGACACAGCATTTATCGTAGTATGCACACACTTCTGTACCTTTTAATTTCACATGGCAATGATTTATATTATGGAGATCACTTAGTATCAGTTACGTAACTTACCTTACTGTTTTTCAAGGCAGCTTAATAACAATACTTCGTATAAATTAGTTGCATTATTTATTGAGTGTTTCCTATGTGCCAGCCACTTTGCATTCAAGTCCTAAGCACTTTACATCCAATAACCCAAGGAGTTTGGTGCTTTTATTATCATCCGCATTTTATAAATTAGATCCTGAGGCATAGAGAGGTTAATTAACTTTCTCCTAGTCACACAGCTAGTAAGTGGTCAAACTAAGATTGAACCTTGGGAGACTCCTGAGCCTGCCATGCGTAACCACTAAGCTGTATACCTCCATGTATATTGAAGCCACATAACCATCTATTTATCTATCATCATTTTTACACAGTGTTTTGCACTCAGTTCATTTACAGCACAATAGTACACATCAATGGTTCTCAAAGTGTGGCCAAGGGGCCCTAGGCATCCCTGAGATGTGTTTAAGGAGTCCATGAGGTCCAGGTCATTTTTATAGTCATATTGTAATATTGTTTGCCCTTTTCACTCTTAGTCTGTCATGAGTGTGATAAGTCCAGAGGGTTTGGGTAGCTTCACGATGGATGATTACACAATAGATTGAATGCAGAAGGAGATATGAGAACCCAACCTTCTTTTATGAGGCCAAATGTTGAGTAGGTTTTCAAAAATATAAGCCAATACCACTATATTTGGGAAAATATGGTTATTTTTATCTAAAATAAGTTGTTTATGTAAACATGCAATGAGTTTATTATTTTACTTAAATGAATACTTATTTTAAAATCATTTGAATTTTTAATATATTGAATATCAATAGACATAATACACATAAACGAAAGCTCTTTGGAGTCCTCTAAAATTTTTAAGTGAATAGAGAGAACCTGAGACCAAAAGGTTCAAGCATTGCTGCTGTATGTCGCGGAGGCAATATATGAGAAATAGAAATTTGCCTCATTTTTTCAAAGACCATGTAGTGGTCCACTGAGTGGAGGTATATTCGTCCCCCCTTATCCATGGGGGACACATTCCAAGACTCCCAGTAGGTGCCTGAAACCACAGATAGTACTGAATTCTATATATACTATGTTTTTTCCAATACAAACACACTTTTTCACTTAAAGGAAGCACTTTACAGTTTCTCTTAGGCATATCTGAATTGCCAGCATCACTACTCTTGCACTTTGCAGCCATTAAGTAAAATAAGCGTCACTTGAACACAACACTTGATACAACAGTCCATCTGATCACCGATATGGCTAATAAGTCACTAACAGGTGGGGAGTGTCTACAGCGTGGAGACGCTGGGCAAACGGAAGATTCATGTCCCGGGCAGGACAGAACTGGACAGTGAGAGATTTCATCACACTACTCAGAATGGTACGCAATTCAGAACTTATAAATTGTTTATTTCTGGAATTTTTCATTTTATATATTCGAACCAAGGTTGACCACGGGTAACTGAAACAGTGGAAAGCATAACCATAGTTGGGGTTGGGGGAGAAACGACTGTAATTTAACAATAAATTCATTTATATTATAAATTTAAGTTATGATTTCAAATTTAAGTGGCAGAGAAGGGTACAAAGAAAAAAGAACTCTCTTCCTCTCCCTCTTCTCAATCTCAATCTCATTTCCCAGAAAGAACAATTGTTATCAGCTTCTTTTAGACCAGTGTTTCTCCCCTTGGGGTGTTTTTGCCCCCAGAGGACATCAGGCAATATCTGGGGACATTTTTGGATGTCACAACTGGGGCGGGGGGTGGGGGAGAGGATGCTACTGGCATCTAGTGGGTCTGGGATGTCACTAAACACCCTACAATGCACAGGACGGCCCCCATCACAAAGAATTATCTGGTGCAACATGTGACTGGTGCTGGAGTTGAGAAAAACCTGCTTTAGACATCATCGATGCGTTTATATATTCTCCCTTGTTGGTTTTTTCTGCCTTTATTTTTATTAACACAAATGAGACTTTGCTAGGTTGATTTATTGTATAAGCAACGGCTCTTTACTTGTAAGGGATGAGTGGTCCCTTTGTGAATCAGATCAAAGCTATGGACTCCCAGGAGAGAATACTCATATTCACAAAACTTGGTACATAATTTCAGGGGCTTCACGGACACCCAGAAAGCCCTGCCAGAATTCCTGGGATGTGTGATTTTGAACCAGAATGCCAGAATATGCAATCCAGAGGGAAATCACTAACTTCACCCCCTATTCCCTTTTACAGAGAAGAGGACAAAAGTGCAGAGAGAACAAGGGTTTTGTTCTGGGTCTTTTAGGGAGGCAAAGAAAAGCAAGGATTGGAACCCAAGCCACCTGACTCCTTAGCGCTGGAATATTTCCACTTCACCCTGAATGAGGACGTTTTAGAAACGCTGATCTTCTCTTCCTGGTACAGCGGGAAAACACGCCACCACCACTCTGTTCCTCTTGAGAAAACACAAAGGGCCCAGCTGCTGTTGATGACAAACACTCGAGCACCTGGGAAACAGCACATTCAGGATGTGAGGCAGAAAAAGGGGTTGGACAGGGACAAGAGGCTGTAATCGAGTGCTAGAGGGTAGGAACCTTAGAATTTGTATCCAGTCATTCCCTGAATCTTTCATTCATTCATTCCTTCATCCACCCATCCATCCATCCATCCATCCATCCATCCATCTGTCTGTCCATCCATCCAGCACCTGTGGACCAAGCCTTCCTGTCTACGAGGGCTGGGCTCGGGGACATCAAAGTGAACCAGACCTGTGACTGTCCTTGAACAGCTCCTACTTGGCTGGGGGAGACTGACTGATGCACCTATCACAATGCAGGGTGACTGTGCTCT